TTATCCGTGGGGCCCGCTCACCTTGTGGGGTCCGTTCATCCCCGTGGGGCCCGCTTAGGGTCCGCTCACCCTGTGGGGCCCGCTCACGAGACTTGCATATTTGTTTGGCCAGTTTTTTTTTTGAGACAAATTTCAAGTTACAGATTTTGTGGCAACAATGACGATAACAAAGACGGTTGTCGAGAAATTCGACAGGAATGTCAACTTCGGCATGTGGCAGCTCAAGATGGAGGCCATTCTTGTTCAAGACGGAGTTGATTTGGCAATTCAAGGAATTGAGAAAAAGCCAGAAGATGTGACAGATGCAAATTTTGCTGAGATGGATAAGAAGGCAAGATCCAGTATTATCCTAAATCTCTCCGATGAGGTATTGCGTGAGGTAGCAACGGAGACTTCGGCCAAGGCTATGTGGGATAAATTGAAAGCCTTGTATATGAAGAAGACAGTCGAGAATCGGCTATATTTGAAGCAGAGTTTGTATATGCTTCGGATGTCTGAAGGTACATCTATACTCTCCCATCTTGATAAATTTGATTCCATTATTATGGATTTGGAGAATATAGATTCGAAAATTGATGATGAAGATCAGGCCCTATTACTTTTATGTTCCCTTCCCCAATCCTTTAAGCATTTCCGTGATACTATGATATATGGAAAGGAAACAATTTCGTATCGGGAAATTAAATCTGCGTTAAAATCTAAAGAGCAGATAGATAGGGATATTATTGGGGAAACTAGTGGGAGTCAAGCCGATGGCTTGTTTGTTCGGGGTAGATCTGAAAGGAGAAACACAGAAAATAGAAGTAGATCTAAGTCCAGACATAAAAATGTGGTGTGCAACTATTGTAAAAAGAAGGGCCATATTATCTCTGATTGCTTTAAATTGAAAAATAAAGAAAAGCAAAAGGAGAAAAGGAGTGAAACCACCGAGGCTAGTATTGCCGTTGATGAGAATGATGGAACTATTTTCTGTGCAACGGAAAATAATTTTAGGTCTAACAATGAGTGGATTTTAGATTCGGGTTGTTCATATCATATGTGTCCCAATAGGGACTGGTTTTCAACATATGAATCAACTGAAGGTGGAGTTGTCTTAATGGGCAACAACGCTGTTTGTAAAGTTGTTGGCAAAGGCACAATCCGGATTAAAATGTACGATGGTATTGTGAGGACGCTCACAAATGTTAGACATGTTCCAGATTTGAAGAAAAATCTCATCTCTTTGGGCACTCTTGAGTCTATCGGGTGCAGGTATTCAGGTGGAGATGGAGTTCTCAAAATCACTCGAGGAGCTCTTGTTGTTATGAAGGCACACAGATCTGGTACTTTGTATATTTTGCAAGGATCTACTGTTACAGGTGCTGCTGCTGTTTCAACATCATCTTTGTCAGATACAGACATCACCAAATTATGGCATATGCGTTTGGGGCATATGAGCGAAAAAAGCTTGGGCATACTGAGCAAAAGAGGACTTCTGTGTGGACAAAGTACCGGTCCATTGGAATTCTGTGAACATTGTATTTTTGGGAAGCAGAAAAGAGTCAGCTTCAGTTCACCAGCAATTCACAAGACAAAAGGTACTCTTGATTACATTCATTCAGATCTATGGGGTCCTTCTCGTGCTCCTTCAAAAGGTGGTGCCAGGTACATGTTGACTTTCATTGATGATTACTCAAGGAAAGTTTGGGTCTATTTTCTTAAGCATAAAAATGATGTTTTCTTAACTTTCAAGCAATGGAAAGTTTTGATTGAGAAACAAACAGGAAAACATGTTAAGCGGTTGAGAACAGATAATGGCATGGAATTTTGTGAAGGTGAATTTAATGAATTTTGTAAGAATGAAGGAATTGCTCGGCATCACACCGTCAGGATGACGCCTCAACAAAATGGTGTGGCCGAACGTATGAACAGAACGCTTTTGGAGAGAGCAAGATGTATGATCTTCAATGCAGGGTTGACAAACGACTTTTGGGCAGAGGCGATCAATATGGCCTGTTATATTGTCAACCGTTCTCCTTCTGCATCTCTTGATTTCAAAACTCCTGAGGAAGTTTGGTCAGGTACTCCTGCTGATTACTCCAATTTAAAAGTTTTTGGGTGTCCAGCATACATGCACGTGAATGATGGAAAATTGGAGCCTAGGGCTAAAAAGTGCATTTTTCTTGGGTATGCTTCTGGGGTGAAAGGATACAGATTATGGTATCCTGATCCCAAATCCCCAAAATTTGTAATCAGTAGAGATGTTACTTTTGATGAATTGTCTATGTTATCTTCCAAGAAGGAGTCTTCTAGTCCTTGTACTATTGATAGTACACAGAAGCAAGTGGAGCTTGATATTGGCAGTTCTGGTCCTTCTCAATCCAAATCTTCTATTCAGCAAGTGCCAGTAGATGCACCTGAATCTACTGTTGAAGATAGTTCAGAAGAAGATGAGTATTCCATAGCCAGAGATAGAGCAAGGAGAGAAATTCGACCACCACAAAGATATGCAAATTTAGTTGCATATGCTTTGTCTGTTGCAGAAGAAACTGATGCAGTTGGTGAGCCTTCCACCTATTTAGAAGCAGTTTCTTGTGATGATTCTGCAAAGTGGTTGATTGCGATGAATGAAGAAATTGAATCTCTTCATCAGAATGAAACTTGGGTTCTTGTAAAGCCGCCGTCAGCTAAGAAAATTGTTGGTTGCAAGTGGGTCTTCAAGAAAAAGGAAGGTATTCCAGGGGTTGAAAATGCAAGGTATAAAGCACGATTAGTTGCAAAGGGCTATAGTCAGGTACAAGGTGTTGATTTTAATGATATATTCTCACCTGTTGTTAAACATAGCTCTATTCGTGTTTTGCTTGCTTTAGTTGCCATGTATAATTTGGAGTTAGAACAGCTCGACGTTAAGACAGCTTTCTTACATGGCGAACTTGAAGAACAAATTTATATGAGACAACCCCAGGGTTTTGAAATTGAAGGTAAGGAAGACCATGTTTGCTTGTTGAAGAAATCCTTATATGGATTGAAGCAGTCTCCAAGACAATGGTATAAAAGGTTTGATTCCTTTATGTTGGGTCATGGTTATTTGAGGAGCATGTATGATAGCTGTGTTTACTTCCGGAAGTTAAATGATGGTTCTTTCATTTATTTGCTGCTTTATGTTGATGACATGCTCATTGCTGCCAAGAATTTGTCAGAAATTCACACCTTGAAACTGCAGTTAAATAGTGAATTTGAAATGAAAGATTTAGGAGCAGCTAAGAAAATTCTTGGCATGGATATCAATCGAGATCGAGGAGTAGGAAAGTTATTTTTGACCCAGAAAAATTACCTTGAGAAAGTCTTGGAGCGTTTTGGCATGAAAGATGCTAAACCAGTATCTACTCCTCTTGCTAGCCATTTTCGGCTATCTGCTGCTCAATCACCAAAATCAGATGAAGAGGAAGATTATATGGCACGGGTTCCTTATTCCAGTGCAGTCGGCAGTATTATGTATGCAATGGTTTGTACTCGTCCAGATATTGCACAAGCAGTCAGTGTTGTTAGCAGATATATGTCTTGCCCTGGTAAAACACATTGGCAGGCTGTGAAGTGGATTCTCAGATACTTGCGAGGTACTTCAAATGTATGTTTGGAGTTTGGAAGAAATAATAACACTTTGGTTGGTTTTGTAGACTCAGACTACGCTGGGGATCTTGACAGGAGAAGATCACTTTCAGGCTATGTATTTTGCATTGGCAGTTGTGCTGTTAGTTGGAAAGCTACTCTACAACCTGTCATAGCTTTGTCTACTACTGAAGCAGAATATATGGCTGTGACCGAGGCAATCAAAGAAGCCTTGTGGTTGAAGAGTTTATTTAGCGAGTTAAGTCTATATCAAGGTGTTACTGATATTCACTGTGATAGTCAAAGTGCCATACACTTGACTAAAGATCAGATGTATCATGAGAGGACGAAGCATATTGATGTGAAGTATCACTTCATTCGAGATATCATTGCTGAGGGAAAAGTCCTTATTCAGAAAATCAATACTAAGGACAATCCAGCCGATATGTTTACGAAGCCTCTTCCAAATTACAAGTTCAAGCAGTGCTTGGACTTGGTTGGTGTTCGTTATTTGTGATTTAGACCCATTGGGTCTTATGTGGAGAAGGTGGAGCGATTTTACTATTGACGATGGTGGGACTCAAAATTATGCCAAGGTGGAGATTTGTTGAGCCGCAATTCTTCAGCCGCAATCCTTGACTGTGGCAAAATTTCCTCATCCCACATCGCCTGAAGCAGAAGGAAAGCCTCCCAAATACAACTATAAATAGGGGGCTCATATGAAGGTTTCAATCGCACCACTCAAGAGAGTTATATGGGCTATTAGCTTCTTGAGTCATCTAGCCCATTCAGTTAAATATTTTAGGCTCTCTTGTTTTGAGTTTAGGAATATTTTCTAAACTCTTTTATAAGTGCCTTATTGGCCTAGGAACCACTTTCCTACGGCTTTTGTATTTCTTCTTCATAGTAGAAATATTGCTATTGGACTCTGCATCTTGATTATGCAAAGTTGAAAAGGCTCAATGCTCAACAATATCAGAATCTGAATTACAAAATAATTAGAAGCCTAATAGATTTTTGTATTGAGACACAAATTATGTTCTAATTAGTTCATCTTTCAAGGATTAACGAATGAAATATGGAATAAAGATGAAGCCCTCAATGGAATTGGAATAAAGATGAAGGCCCCAGCAAGAAAGTTAAAGTGAAAATCCCAAGCCAGGAATTTCCATTTCAAAGCATCCAAGTTTCCCAAGAAACTTAAAGTGAAGATGCCAAGCAAGGAATATATATTTCCGTTGCCAAGGAAGGCATCCAAGTTAAGAATAACTCTGCACTTTTAAGCGACCAAATACCAATGCTCTCCTCTTTTTAACCACTCGTAACATTACCAATTTCTGGCTGCTAAAACCTCCCATTTTGAAAAACCATCTTGATCTCAAGACTGAATCCAAGTTATTCAAAAAAAAAAAATGGCCGATCCCGTCATTAGTGCCACTATTCAGGTTGCCTTGGAGACGGCAGTATCTCTTGCCACTGACAGGATTGGTATGTTAGTTGGCTTCAAGAAGGATGTGGCCAGCATGACACGTACTCTCCGCTGGATCAATGCTTTCTTGGCTGATGCTGAGGAAAGAAAACAAAACCAGGACCGGGTAGTGCAAGAATGGTTGAAGAGTCTCGAGGAGGTGGCTTATGAGGCGGACAATGTGTTGGATGAGCTCCACTATGAATCCCTTCGTCAACAGGTGGAGTCCCGAAACCGACACAAGCTCAAGGTATGCTGCTTCTTCTCCTTCTCTAACATTAATCTTGCTTTTCGTTGGAGAATGGCTTCTAAGGTCAGAGACATCAAACTTAAGTTGAATGGCATCTATCAAGACGCCCATGGATTGGGACTGGTCAGTAGGGAAGTCTTGACGGCTGCCCTCCCTGCTGCTCCTGCTGTTGGAGACACAAGAAATCGGCAGACTGACTCTGTTCTTGTTCCAATAATTGGAAGAGCCGATGATGAATCAAATATAGTGAAGATATTGTTGAGCCCGTCTAAGAAGGTTGTTTCTGTTCTTCCCATAATTGGTATGGGAGGTCTAGGCAAAACAACTTTGGCTAAATCGATATACAACAAGCAGCAAATTGATGCGCACTTTAACAAAAAGATTTGGGTTTGTGTATCGAAAAAAGTTCCAATAGTTGAGCTTTTCAAACTCATATTAGTGCAATTGACGGGAGAAAAGGTTGAAGTAGATGATAGGAATGTCGTCGTTGGAAAAATTGGGAATCAACTAGGGGGAAAAAGATATTTCCTAGTGCTTGATGATGTGTGGGATGATGATGAGGCATTGTGGGATGACTTTTTCACCACCTTGAAGGGGCTCAATCCAACCAATGGAAGTTGGTGTCTTGTCACTACTCGTTTAAGGATGATGGAAAATGAAGCCTATCCATTAAGAAAACTACCTGATGATCATTGTTGGTCTATCCTAAAAGAAAAAGTAGTTGGAGGGGAAGAAGAAACTGATGAACTAAAAGCAATTAAAAAGAGAGTAATCAAAAGATGTGATGGTCTACCATTGGCTGCAAGTGTAATCGGAGGTCTATTATCTTTAAAGAGAAAAGAGGAGTGGCGATCAATTTTGGAGAATAGGCTTTTGAGTGGAGATGGAGATCGTGTGATGCAAATACTGAAGTTTAGTTTTGATAATTTGCCATCTCCATACATTAAGAAATGTTTTGCATATTGTTCTATATTTCCCAAGGATAGTGAGATAGAAAGGAATATGCTCATCGAACTTTGGATGGCAGAAGGTTTCCTCCAAGCAGATCTCAACAGCCAAATGATGATGGAGGAAATTGGAATGAATTATCTGAGAATTTTATTGCAAAGTTCGTTGTTTGAAGAAACAAGAAATTATCAGGGAACATGTTATAAGATGCATGATCTGGTCCATGACGTTGCAGAGTCAATGTCGAAGTCTACCAAAATCATTAATGATAGGGATACACGTGTAGCAGACAAAGGTGATCAGATTCGTTACCTTGCAATAGACTCATCTGGTGGCAGAGAAGACAGAGAAAAACTTCTGGAGAGTCTATCAACTTCGCTTCATACATTATTCATCGTAAATGGTGACTTATCTGGTGATATGTTAATGAAGTTGAAGAACTTGTATGTTTTGAATTTGTCTCGTACAAGAACTCGAGAGCTACCAGTCTCAATTGGCAAACTGATACATTTGCGGTACGTTAACCTTGAGTGGTCTTCAATCAGTATTTTGCCGGACTCCTTTGCAAGCTTTATAATCTGCAGACATTGACGCTAATTGACTCAGATGTTAAACATCTTCCGAAGGGGATGTGCGATTTGATTAGCTTGAGACATCTCCACTATTACATAAGTGATAATGAAGAATTTCAAATGCCGCTAGAGATGGGAAGGCTGACTTGCCTTCAGACGCTAGAGTTCTTTAATGTGGGTCGAGAGAAGGGTCGACGAATTGGAGAGCTTGGAAGCTTGAAGAACCTCAAAGGCAAATTGAGGATACGCAATCTGGAACTAGTGAAGGATAGAAAAGGAGCTGAAAAAGCAAATCTATTTGAAAAGGCTAATCTATTTGAGCTGGAACTTAAGTGGGCCCCTGTTCGAGAAGGCGACGACTACAATGACGAAGATGTGTTAGATGGCCTTCGACCCCACCAAAATTTGGAGGAGTTGGTAATTTGGTATTTTATGGGCAATCAATTTCCTCGATGGTTAATGGATTTGCCAACAACAACAACACCTCCCAAGTTAGCGTGTTTGGAATTTAATCGCTGCAACAGATGTAGAGAACTCCTTCCCCTGCAAAACTTTACGTCTCTTAAAGAGCTGCAGATTTATAATTGCAATGGGTTGACGAATCTGCCAGGTGACATGCTACACTCTTGTGCCTCTCTCCAGAAGCTTCGAGTGGTTGGTTGCGACAATCTTATCTCCTTTCCGCTTGATTTGCAACAAACGCCTTCTCTCATGGAGCTGGAATTACGGAAGTGTCCCAAACTGAAAACAAGCATGACGCCCAAAGGATTTGGTTTCCTAACCAGCTTAAGGGATCTTACAATTGGTCCCTTCTCAGATGACGGTGATGATCATGAAAATTCTTTAATTTACAATGAATTTGATTGGTCTGGATTGATATCCTCCTCTTCGTCATCCGCACTCCGTGAATTAGAATTATATGGGTTGCCACACATGGAGTCCCTGCCACATCAGATCCAATACTTGACCACTCTGACGTCACTAACGCTACTTGACTTTGGAGGTATAAAAGCTCTGCCAGATTGGTTCGGAAACTTTGCGGCTCTTGAAGACGTGCACTTATGGTTTTTCAAAGAGCTTCGACATCTACCCTCTGAGGATGCCATGAGAAGTCTCACCAAACTAAAAGTTCTGCAGGTTTATGGTTCTCCTCTGTTAAAAGAAAGATGCACTCCTGAGAGCAGCGGCCCGACTCCCAGTGGTCCAAAGTTTCTCACATTCAACTCCTAGAAATAAGTTGATTAATAACCAACTTTCACCTTTGGATCAAATTCAATCAAGTAAGATTGCCTTCAATAACCACTTTCTTAATTTGCTTTACAATCAATCTCCCCTTCTCTTCACCTCCCCCTCTGATTAACCTTCTCGTGAGAAAACCTAAAAAAGTCTCCCTTTCGTGGTTATTTTCACAATTTTCTCTTCTCCCTTTTTATCGTCCTATTTATTATCTTTCAAAGCTGCGGCATTAGCATTTCTTATCAGGTCCAAAATATTGGTGCTCTTCATTTACTCCTTACAACATAATACTCTTCTAACCTGTTCATATTCTGTTCTATGCTTTGTTTTTGTAGGATTGATAGAAGAATAGCTTCACGAACAGAGGTCAGAATTTTGAAGCTTCTTCAGCACCGTCTATATGGCTAGAAGAACTCAATAACTTTTGGCCTGCGTTTCCTACAAATAGTTTATCAACGTTTAGAACAACTAGCAGTCTAGTCTCGTTTATTTTACATGGTCTGCTTCTGTGGATTTTAAGCTGTTATTGCTAAAGTCATCTCACTCTGTTTAAAATTGTAATTCTAAGGGGACTGAACTTTTACCTCTTGATAATGAACTTGCATACTTATCTGAACTATTTGACTGGTAATAGCTCCATCGGAGTCGTATATGATGGTTTTCTGGCTCACTTCTCCTTGATTTTGGCTTTTGAACCATGAATACAATGGAAAATTGCGAAGTTTTCGCAGCTGTTGGTCATTACTCTCATGTTTTGGTTCAAAATTTCTGGTAATTTTAGATATGCCTCTCGTCTTTCACTACTCAATTTTGACTTTTAACCACTGGTAATGTAAAACAAAAGAAATCTTGTCGTCAGGAAAATAATATTTAATATTTTGTTATAAAACTTCTCTTTTTTCAGTGTTTTAAACAAAAACTATTATAGTTTCTATGGCACTTCCGGTACTTGTAGACTAAGCAGAAAATTTTGATATCTTCTTACTGATTTAGGTTAGAAAAGCACAACAGAAACAAATACTGATTTGGCTTTCTGAATAATTGACTAAAAAAATGTCATGCAATTTCCAGTTAGCCTTATGATTTGCTATGTGAAATCCTGAATCTGAGTTTTCTGTTTTGCAGTGACTGTAGCCTTAAAGCTCAGTCGGGAACCCTGATGGCTCGTAATTACTGTAGGCTTCTCACTCTTGAAAATCCTCTCTTCCCTTGACAGTATATCAACTCATAATTGAAGCAACACAGAGTAGGTCTGCCAAGTTGGATGCAGAGACAGTCCTTTCAATCACTTCATCATGATTGAAGGTTACAGGTAAATTTTATCAATTAATGAGAATAAGCACAATATTTCGTAACCTTTTCCACTAGTAAGCCATGCATGGCTCCATATCAATTAATGAAACTGAACAATCTTTTTGGTTAATTTCTAATGTTAAATTGGTATTCCTCACTTTCTATCACATATTATTTGCTGATGCAAAGATCAAACATAGCAAATGGAGGCTTAATTCAATACCATGTTTTGGGGATGAAACAAACGCACCAATGTGGGGTGGAATTGAGCATTTAGTTTTGTTTATCATAGTATGTCAGTTAATGTCCTTTGTACGTTCTACATCAGCACACTCTCTTTAAATTTGTGATTTCACCAGGATGAAATGGTTGCTCACTCTAAAGTTTCCCCAGTTGAAAATGAATTGGATGTTTTAGATTCGGTATCACATGCAGCAATTCGAGAAACCTTTTCTACAAGACTTTAAACCAGCAATTCTCTGCTGCGCGTCTTTCTCCTGCACTTAACGAGCAGATTTTTGTGGTCTCTACCCTAGATGAACTTAGATTAGATTTATGTCTGGTATTAATTAATTTTTGGTTTGCATTTCCTACAAGTTACCCATCAATATGAAATAAGCACTAGGAGTTTCGTTTTGTTGATTTTATATATATGCTTTTGTGGATGTAAGATGTGATTGCTAAAGTGATCAGCTCCCTAACTTATGATTCTAGTGGGAGTAAATAGTTGCTCCAAAGTTTAATCACCTCTTGAAGGCGCATTTATCAAGCTTCTTGAACCATTTGATTAGTGATTTGTTCGATAATCTCGTAGATGATGGGTTTCTGTCTCACTTTTCCTTGGTTGTGATTTTCTAGCCAAAAAGACTCCAGGAGTTTCCAAAGCTGTTGGTTGTCAAACTACTTTTTGGTTCTAAGAGTCCGGTGAGGTCAGATATACTACTCTTGTTTTACTATTCAATTTTTACTTTTAAATACTTTGATTCTGATTATATGACAACTAAAACTTGAGAAATCTTCTCCTAATGTAGAAGTTTTTTGGAGCAGCCACAGAAGATGTCTGTTCATGCAATAAAGCTGCATGGACTCTGGCGTAGTTAGTCAAGACTGTCAAGCATACTTGCTGCTCGCTGCTACTTGCTGCAATTGTTTCATCCGCTGTGATGAAGGCTATTAAGCTCATCCCACCTTCTATACTTGCTGGTTGCTCCTTTCTTCATGGTAAGTTCTTTTTTTAGTGTTTCAAATACAACAAAAATGTCATGCAACTATGTGTTGGCCTTATTCTTGACTACATGTTGTCCCGAGTTTCTTGAGTTTTTGTGTTTTGCAGTGATTTTAAGTTCAAAACCTTCATAGCTCTTACTATCCTTGGTACATTATTAAAAGTCGTATGATCCCTTGCTGAACCAGATCCTGTTTCAATCAGATCAGATGAAAACATCCAGGATGGAATTCTCTTTTGCTCTCTGCCTTGGATGGCTAAAGCCGGAGATCTTCCTTGTCGGCTGGTGATTTTAAACTGTCCAACCATTCAGCAATTTGTAGACATGTTGATGAGGTGTTCTTTTACCTCTTTTGGAACTCAATTTGCCATATCTTCCGTGCTGCTTGTAGTTCAAAGTAGCCAGTATTTTGCAGCAGAAAGATGTGGATTAGCTGAACCCTGATAGGTGCTTGCATCCTTCTTGAAGTTGTATCTTAGCTCTATAACAGGCAACATATTTTTTCTCAGTGTTCTGCAGTTGACTACATGATACTTTTCCATTGCTCCTTGTATCTGTAAAGCTCAGACAGGACTCAGAGCACAAAGAATCAGTTGAGCCCTTCTATATGTGTTAATTTGAGAGCAATTTAGAAAACTGAATTGCTAAGGCACCAATTTTTATTCAAGAAAGGATCCCACTTGGTGGATGGGAACGGTGGAGAGATGAAATTATGGAAATCAATTGAACAGGATTATATAGGAACATATAACGTCAACCTTACTTCATCAAGCTGACATTTTACATAGCATCTATCTGCAAAATTACTTCTATGCGAACTTGTCTCCTTTTACGTCAATATTGTTCCATGAAGCAATAATGTGACATGGATCTTACACATCTTGGCCTCAAATCATTTTCATTGTAGTTACAATTAAAGCATTTCTACCTTTCTATGCCTCTAAGACTTTGATGGCCAATATAAGTAAATCATCTCATATCTGTATCAGTACGGAATGTAGTGGTAATATTTTAACTAGTTACCTAAAAGTAATAAAAACTAACTTCTCAGAAAGAAAGAAGGAAGGGAATCTGTTTGTTGCACAAAAATTTCAGATGAACTTATTTCTCCACAAAAGGGGGGGGAGGGGCTATTTTCCTCCTGTAGAATGTTTTGGATATCTACTTTTTTCATGTGAATTTATAATATATAAATAAACAAGTAGAGGAAATGACAATTCGAAAAATAATAATATAAAAATATCATTCAACCCAGGAATTTCTTGCAAATTAGCCTAGTCATTGGGAGTTTACGAGCAAGGCTGACAGGTGCCGAACCTGTGCAATAATAAATACCTGCTCAAATAAAATACAAATTCTGTATATAGCGGTGAGCAGGGTCGAATCCACAGGGACTGGGGATAATTTAATTTCTTCTCAAGTTCCAGATATGGGGGGTTTTTAAAAATGAGAGTAACTAAATTACTTGGAATAAATAAAATAAAATAACTACAACTCAAATAACTAATTATCACAATAAAAATAATAATGGACGAACTCTAGCCAAGAGACAACTTCGGAGATGGTTCACTTAATTCGATCACAGATGCAAGGATTATTCCAGTTACTATCTGATAAATTAGTTATAGTTGTCATACATGCGATAAACAACCAACTCTTCCTCAATTTGTCGATAGCCAAGGTACGACCGTTGACTATTTCTCTAATCAGGAAACAACCCTAGGTACGACCATAGAAGTTTAATTCCCTAATTGCATGAATAATTAGAAGAGCCTAATTCTAACCAATCAACACGCTACGAGGGTCTCTTTAAGTTAGCCTGTCTATCTCCCTGACACAAACCCAATCATGCCAGTTACCACCAGTTTAGAATAATTAAACAATTACGGATTTAACTACCCTAATTGGCTTCAGGTTATTGAATTAATCTAGAATCCGGGCCCTGGATAATCAAATAACAAAACAACCATATGAACATAAAGCAAAGATAGACAAATACCAGTGAATAATGGAAATATATAAAAACAATTCGATCTCACAAATTTAGTAGAACCAAATCCCCCGTTGTTCTTGACTAGAGTGGTGAAATTAGTTCATGTTTGATGAACTAAACCCACCAGAAATTGCGGCAATAGCTGCGACCTTCGTATCCATGAATTAGGCAAATTCAATTCGCTCAAATCAATAAGAAAAGTAAGCTACAGGAGTTGATTGATTGCTTGTACTCTTGGCTAACATTCGAAGGAAGACAAGGAACTACTAAAAGCTAAAAAGAAAGAAAAGTCAAAAGAAACTAAGCTAAAGGACAAAAGAAACTAAGAAGAGAGTCACTGCTCTTCCTCTGCGCAACTCCTATTCCAATTAGCCTATTGCTCCTGTGCGGCGTCCGCCGCACCAGAAGAAGAAGCTCCCTTTTTCCTGCGTAATTTTCCTATATAAAGGAATACTCCTTGCGGCGGCTCCTGTGCAGGAAAGTGAAGACTTCGGCCCAATTGCCCAACAAGGGCTCACGTTTGTTGTTCCAAAAATGCCCCTAGAATAAGCTCTATCATCTGGACTCTTTTCCTGCCAAATTAGCACCTGTTATTATATTTTCGTTCTACTCCCTGAAATAAATGTAAATTACGAAAAGTGAGTAGAATCTAATAATTAATTCACATCAGGTCAAGTAATAGGGAAATTAATAATAAAATAAGTGAATGAATTGCAACCTATCAATTCCCCCCACACCTAAACCATGTTGTCCTCAAGCATAAGAATAGTAAACAGATACCAAAATGTGATAATGACCATTGCTCTATCTACCAAATTGCCAAGATATCAAGAAAAATAATAATCAAGCACCAATGATCAAGTCCAAGAAATATCACTTCGGTTAGCTTCTAAACCACAAACTCCTCTAATTTCAAGTTAACTAATATAAGAAAAAGGAATGACGCACAACATTTATCAGCAAGTGGTCCAACTATTAACAAAATCTCAACATTAAATCCATAATTCGGCAAGCTGACTAACACAACCTTCACTTTTTTTTTTTTTTTTTTTTTTGTTTTGATTGATTTTTCTTTTTTCTTTTTTTTGTTTTTTTTGTTTTGATTCTTTCTTTTTTTTTCAATAGTAACAAAAGACTTAGTCGCTAGCCATTTAAGCCTTTTGACGCGAACTCCAACATTGGCCAGATGAAAGAGCCCGGTTACTCAGCTTCTATCGCCACGTGACCACGTATTCATAGGAATTACTACCTTTTGACGCTAGAATCAACACTTTTAGGTGCAGATCCCCGGTTACTCAGTAGTAACTAATAGCGGAGTACAGTCAAGTTTATTCATAGCTAAAAATAAAAAAAAACTCAATATAACACAAGAACCAAAAGAAAACTTGCATCAGCTAGCCTCATGTTCAAACATGGAGAACTAAAGTTAATAACCGGACCAATTCACATGAAAATGCCAATAATCATTCCCTATGTCTAGGAAAGTTAACCAAAAATTATAAGAGCCACATAATCACTGATATTCACCAAAGGAATGCTCTTGATTCAACCACATTAACTCGACACATTTTTATTATTAAAACTTGGCAAAAGTAGAAATAGGGGCAACAATCCAACATCAAATTTGGCAGTCATAGGAGAGCTAGACAGATAAATGACAAAATGTAAACGAAAACTAGACAAATAACAGACTAAAAATAAAAGAAAAATATCTGAAAACTAAGAACTAGAAAAAGAAACTAGCAAAGAAACTAGCATAGCTGTCCCCCCCACACCTAGATCCTACATTGTCCTCAATGGAGGGAATAAAACAATTAAAGTGAAGAGGACAAAGAAACTTCCCTCTCGAGTGGCTAAGGGTATTTGGCAGCTGCGGAGGGAAACCAATGTGGTGAAGTACATGCCCCAGTTCTGAGACATCATAACTCAATTCAACCAGCAAATGCACAACTCTGTCCACCCAAAATCTCAACAAAGTCTCCAAGTGGATAGTTAATTTTCAACTCAGAAGCGGCAATTCCAGCAATAGTAGTATAGAAAGTAGACAATAACCACACAATCACAAGTTTTTCCTTTTTAATCAGGCAGCCAACCAATTGGAAATAACAAATGCTAATCAAAATACCCCAACCAGTACCACTGGTGCAAAACGTAGTCCAAAATCAATGAAATAGATATAACAGAGCAGAGTAAATGCTACCTATGGCCCCCAATGGATCAGCTAACAGTAGAAGCTATACAATGCCACACTCGCAACAGATACTCCAACAAAGGCAGCAAATGAACTCATTTGCAACGACTACGGAAGGCAAGTGAAATCAAGAGACTAAACACACCCAGTAAACCAAAATTAGTTAACCAACTTCAAGAAGCGATACAGGGTCACAATGCCCTTCCGATTCAACAAACAACCCAGAAATTTGCGCTACTACAGTCCTAACAATTCAAGCAATAAGCCCCAATATTTATCCAGTAACCAGTGAATAATTCCGAATCTCCAAAGAAAGTCAACATAGGGCTAAAAGTATAATGGACAAAGCAATCAGCGGGACCCCAGATTTATAATAGAATATCTCGTGAAGCAGCATTGGAAACAATGGACAGACCACTCCCAACAATTGAAGTAAATTCGTCCAATTTCAACAGGCAACACAAATGCCACAAATTCCACCCAATTCAACTACAGGAATCATCCAATCACCCCAAAATTGCAACAAGTGGCTCCAGATGGCCAATTAAATGCACAACTTCACCCACCCCAAAAGAATTAGCAATTCCAAGCTAGAATAATCTAACCAGTACCACTGGTGGAAATCACCCAAATATGCATAAGCTACTACCAAATATCACCGACTAACACTGAGAAATTGGGGGCAAGTGTCGAATACCTCCACTGGGACTACCCCAGGCGGCAGACAGAGAAGCGGCGTTGAAGTTGGTGGTGGATGGCTGCGTCCGTGCGCAGAGCATGGCTGCTGGACAGAGGCTGCTGCACGTCCCTGTGGGCTCGTCGCCACTTGCGGAGGGAGTCGCGTGGGGCTTTAGCAGCGGCGGCGCAGAGGCTGGGCCGCGGCTTAGTGGCGCGCCGGGGTCGCGGGCTGCGCGCGATCTGGTGGAGAGCAGCGGAGAGCGGCGGCGGGGCGCGCGATTGAGTTGAGGAAGGGGGTGGCACGCGGTGGAGTTGAGATGGCGGTGGGCACGAGCGGCGGACACAGCGAACAGAGGAGAAGAAAGAAAGAAAAGAGAAAGAAAGAAAAAGAAAGGAAAGAAAGAAAAGAAAGAAGGAAAAAAACTTTTTTTTTTGTTTGTTTTTGTTTTTGTTTTTTCTTGATAATTGAGAAATTTTTTTTTTTTTTTTTTGATAATTGAGAAACCTAGCTACGGTTTGAAAAAAATTTCTCTCTCTTTTTTTTTTTTTTTTACCTTTCCGCGAACGTGACGCGGGCACGCCATGCGGGCAAGAGAGCTCCAGAAGTTTCTGCTCGTGAGCTATCTGCACGTCACCACGCGGGCACGTCATGAGGGCAAGAGAGCTCCCAGAAGTTCAG